TTACATTATGAAAAAGGAACATTTTTGAAATGTATATATACGTATTTAACAATTTATGGGATTTTAAGTTAGTTGGTGAACATTGTAAGCATACAAGATAGAGGGGTAAGATTTATGTTCCCTACTGTATGCTGTGGACGACTGCAAGGTCACTTGATTATTTAGGTGTTTGTATTTTTAACAATCTGATCGTGGAGTTAAGAGAAAGCAGAAGAAACGTTTAACATCTTCTATATTTAAGAAACGAATAAAAATTATTTTTGTTATCCAAGACATTTCATAGTTTGGACGCATTTTGTTGAGTAAATGTTTTTCCATATTTCCGTTGTACCTATTATGTATTTTGACTATTCCAATGCAATTTTGTAGTTGTATTTGGGAAAATAAATATTTGTAATATTATCATCATTACTATTATTATTATTATGCTACATAGTACATGTAATTATTTGAGATTTGAAAGTGGCTAATTAAAATCTTTGAAAAATTGTAAACCACTGCTTGAATAATATAAATTTTATTAATTTATGAATCTAAAATAAGTCATTCGCTTTTCCTTTAATGCGCATAGATAGAGAAAACTTTTAAAACTTTGAAATATAACTTTAGACCTCACTTCTCTAACATTTAATTTTTGTTTGATTAGGAAATACGAGAAAATTTTTGACAAATTCATAGTTAGAGTAAGATTTTTTTTCTATTATATGTTGGATAGGTAATAATATCCCACGGATAGCCCACGTCCTTAAATTATCATTCATAACTTTTTAAACCGCGAGACTATTGTCAGGTTAACAAAAGCGGAAATGTTACTGTGAAAAAATGTTTGAAATATCAACGACGTTCCCTTTCGTCAGTCAAAGAAGAAAAACTCAACTTCAACTACTGCAATCTCCATTCGTGCAAATTCGATTTAGAGAAAAAGACATACAATATATACATACGTATCATTTTCTCTGCGCTTAAGAACAAATAAAGAAAGGAATAATTCGATCCGTATTTAAGAAAATTTGGTTTGGGTATCAATTTTAATGACTTTTAGGTACTTTGTCCTCTGTCCATTCAGACTGAAATTCAGATAAATTCGAATACCGCTTGAAAACTCATCCTCGTTTAGTATTTGAATAACGAACTTTCCGATGTCCAGTTTAGTTTTTCTCAAAAGCGATTTTGGGTTCGTCCGTTAAACTTTTTATCAGAACAAGGTTTTGAAACGGCTCCTTGATACATGCGATATGCCCAAAACAGTGGAAAAGTGTATTATATTACCCCGGATGATGGAAACCAATACAACGCAGTGGTGGGAAGAAGTCTGGACGAAAATAAAAACATTGAATATCTAAGGAGTTCCTCGAAGTCAATAATAAGCGCAAAATTTCAAAAAATTACTGTTTTGTTACCATGGTAGCTGTTTACATCAGTTTCAAATAAAATGTATAGTGTGGGCCGTTTATTTTGGGACACCACCTTATGCAAGAAACTATAGGTGATGGAGCCAAAAGTTCAATTCAATTTATTTTATTATTATACATTCAGGGTGTTTCATTTTTCGTGGGCGGATATCAACTTTCCTATTTTAAATAGAACACCTGGTATATTACTTCATTTTTCAATTCTATACAATATTCTAGACATATTTTGTGTATAATGTCCTACACCTAACCACCTAAAATATTTAAATATGCAAAGGACTCGAATAATGGATAAGAAATTTCTATACATATTAATGATATACTGTTGCCATATTCGGTTAGTATTAAGTGGCTTTGATGGAATTTGAACAGAAGAAGCGCTAAAGTACTGCCGCTATGATTTATCATTTCATAGTCGAACATAATCTTGCTGATGCGTTTATGAAGATCCAAAGATTATGTAAATGTATGTATGCATTGTTTTATACAGAATAAGACCAAGGATATGCGATAACGTTGGTGAATATTTTAATAACGAATGATCAATAAAAAATTAATAGCACATAAAGGATAATAATTATTGTAACAGTTGTTCAATATGTCCTCCACTTTTAAATAGGATATTTAAACGGGAATGAATCTTCTCTTATTAGACGTTTAAATCTTTAAGTGTAAATATAGTGGAGTTAAGTCGGGGCTCCTTGGAGGACATGCGTACCTACCATTCTCCCCAATCTCTCGAGATCCTGCTGCCAAATAAAATTTCAACGAATGGATGATGTATAAAAGCTCTAAGTAGCGTTGGGAATTTAAACTCTGATTAAAAAATACTGGACCTATTATTCTGAATCTCCAAATGGCGCACCAACCTTTAACAGAAGTTCTACCTAATCTTGTAACTTTCGTATCTTTTTCATTATTCTTGTTGCTCCAGTAATGGGTATTCCTCCGATTAAAAATTTTAGTTGAGGTTCTAAATGTGGACTCATCTGTCCAAATAATATTAGCATATATATTTTCTGAAAAGTGTCTCTCCATATGAATGTTGCAAAAATCTAACCTGATGTAATCCCGTTTCTCTAATTGACATCTAGATCTAAAGACGCACGTTGGGTGGATTATTCAGGGGTCTCTGCCAAATGCAACAAAATATTACGTTACTCTTCATCAATCAAAATATGACGCCTATTTTTTCTCTTTCTTCAAGCTTCCATGTATTCTAGAGTGTTGGTAAATCCTGTCCAAGATCTTTTTTTTCTGGGCGCCTCCTTAATGAAAATTTTATTGTTCGACATGTAACTTTCTAACATATCAATCTTTTAATCTGTGGTAAACATGATACGCAAGCAAGCCAGTAATTTAAATTTATAAAAGGTAAATAAACAAATCAATAATGTGTCAAAAAATATTTGAATTATGACAGCAATCACAACAAAACACTAGTCGATGGAGGAAGCGTTCTATCACTTGTTTTGTTCAAACGCCGCCATAGCCATTTTACGCAAACTGAACTTATATTGCACCAGTAAAAATATTAGGCATATACAACCTTATGCAAAATTTAATGGATTTTTAATGCTAAATATGACAAGATCATAAAAATAGATAGTTTCCATTTAAAAAAAAAAGGTTTTTTTTGCATTTTTTTTTACATTTCATTTGTAATATTATTTTTCGCTTACCCTGTATTAATATGTATCGAAATTTTTTAAGAAGTTCGTTAGTCGAGTAATTTGCATACAACAAAATTTACGTCTTTCAAAAGTCATTTTTCGCATAAAAAAAATAATGTCAAAAACGGTTGTAGTTAGGTATAACACCCTGTATATACATTAAAGGTTTGTAATACCTTAATTAACTTTTGTATTTTTTATAGTTTCTGAGATAATGTAGTGTCCCAAAATGGATAGATAGGGATTCATTCAAATTAAATTATTTTATAGGGTAATGGACTTTATTACGAGTACGAACTTATATCAACTAATCGCTTCCTCCCATTTCTGCACAAAATGCTCTGTGGAAAGTCGGCCTTAATCGAAACAAAATTTTGTGACTTTTTTTTTGTTTGTGAAACAACATTAGTTTATTATTATTAATTTTATTTTGTATAATTTAAAAGATCATGTAAATAAACAGCATTGCTGTCTTATAACTGTCAATATGAGGAAGTAACATTAGCATAAATTAATTTTTGGTAGGTGACAAAACTAATTCAAATAGGATTCCTTGCACTTTTCTACAATTTTGAATTAAATATCCCACTCAAAGAACAGGGATTAAAGTAAAATACAAGTAATCTAAGCATGTATATGAAATAAAATACAAGTCGTACGTCATATTTATGTGTGCGACGATGTGAAGCAAAAATTAATTTATTTTTATGTGGAAAAATCCGATTTTTCAAATTTTCGATTTCTTAATTACATCGGACTCTCTGTATAAAATGAATTTTATTTATGGCGTCAATTTTTAAAAGTCGAAAAAGCCGAAAAATTTAATTCCAAGGCGCCCCGCCGTCCAAAAACAACTTACGAGACGTTCTTAATTAAAATTTTCAATTAAACACGCAAAAAACTTTTCCAATTTGAGCGATAACCCCATACTGTCTTTAAAGACATATTAATAATCTTTTAATTGTGTTACCCTGATTCTATCTCAGGCAAACTGACACAAGCTGATGAAAACTGATCGAAAGTGCCCAAAAGTTTCCTGCCTGGACCGCCCGAAATGTTATTAAGATCGTAATTATAATTTCCAATCGGCCTTTAAGTCTATAAAAGCAACTTTGAGGGATTAAGTTGGAAACTTCTTAGAGTAACAGTTTGGATTGAATTAAAGACCTTTTTGCAGCGTTGAACCGGCGTTAAATTTATCACCTGCGAAATGCCTTTTCTGAAGGTGAAGTTTAAGCAAAAAAACATACAAAGATGCATTTTATACAACATTTAAAAATCTGTATTTTTCTTAATATTAAAGATATTTTAATTTAGCCACTGTGATGGTTGCTAGTAATATGACTTTTATAATAAAAATTTTATTTAAAAATTAATTGAAACGTCGTATTGTCAAAAATGTAAAATATTCGGGAGTTAAAAAATATCGCTGAACTAATTATAGTAATAATATAAAAAAAATTATAGAAAGCAACTAAAATACAAAAAAAAATTCTAATCTGAATTTACGATAGCGACCATAATGTAGGTTAATTTTATTTCTAAATGTTTTGGTTATGAAAGGCATTAATATAGTATTATAGCATTATATGGTAATTTAATAATATGTGCAGATTAATTTTCTAGTTCTTCTGTTCAATTTATTATTAAGATCCAGTACTTACAGAATTAGAACCTGGATCTTTTTTACCCATCAATTTTACATTTCTCATCAATTGCAAATAAGCATCTCTGCTCTAACGTATGTAAACAAACCATATTATTTCAAGATTACTATTGAATTGTTACTTATTTTAGGTGTTTTAAATGCTGAGAATTGACTTGTTACGTTCCTGGCTTTCTTATAAACACTCGGAACGTTATCAAAGATAACTAACGGCAGATAATACACCAAATAACTAGTAGAACAACTCACTTATGCTGAGATAATATTGTGTTCCGATCTCATAAGGGTCCCACGTCAGTCCGCGATACCTCGTTTTCTCCCTGGGAGTTCCATAGTCGGGCACTTCTTTGTGAATCCCTGGTCCGTTGGGATCCCCGCTTTTAACAAAGTTGCTTATGAAGTTCAGTAGCGCTTCCGCTACGCCCATATCCTGCCGGGAGTAGTTTTGAGGGAAAAACGGCTGACCTCCGACTAGTGGTTGACCTAAGATGTAAGCGAGGTCTTCGCCTCGCACGGTGCCCAACCTCTGCAGAGAATATAAGCCATCAAATATTCGAATCCTTCAGTTTAGTGACTAAAATCAATTAGATGTCGATTAGAAAACGTGTCTTTTGTCGTGCTGAATAGTCCAAATTCGAATTCTAAATTAACAGTCAACCATTTTTTAATTTATTCAGGGTTATTTTTTGTTACATACTTAAAAACAACTTTTGAAAAATCGCTCTTGATTATTTTCTTCAATTGCGAGGTAGCACAGTACAAATTTAAATTATCGCAACAAAATTTCAGCAAATTCTTCTAAATTTGAATTTGAATTTTATTTTTCTATGTAAGACAATAATTTAATTACATAAGAAGTGCATTTCTTAACATTAAGGAAATAATTTTAACAAATATGGGCAAGTATGTATGTCATTAAGGTATCTATATGTATATTTCGCATATATAAAATAAAAGACAATCATATTAAGATAAATAAATTACAATTATAAGACAAATTACCAATAATATAATTGTTCTAATGCTTCTTTTTTTAAATTTACCGTGTGTTTCGGCAGTTATTACTTGATACTTATTTTATTGAGATTCGATTCAGCTTAGTATTAAATAAAATTTTCATTTTAAACATTTCCCTCGGATAATTTAATTATTTTTAATTAAAATCTAATTTTTATTACACTACAATTTATGAGCCTGGTGTCTAGATATGAATAAAAGCTTATAAAAGGCTCATTGTTATGGAATGATCTAGCCGGTTTATCACTTTGCTAATAAAATTTTCCTATTAATAACTGAGAGTACCTATTTTATTATCAGAGTGTTAGCAAAAGATGTTTATATTCTTAAATTGAACTGAGGTGGCTTTTACTTGATGAAAATCCATTTATCAAAATAAATAAGAACTTAAAGTTCAGATTTTCACGAAATTATATATTATGACATGATAATTGTTTCGACAACACCGTGTCTTTATCAAATGTTTGATAAAGACACGGTGTTGTCGAAACAATTGTCATGTCATAATATATAATTTCGTGAAAATCTGAACTTTTAGTTCTTATTTATTTTTATATTCTTATATTATCCTGAAATTTTCCATTTTGGCCCTTTTTTTTATAAAAAAATATGTTTCCATTTATCGGTAAATCTTTGCAAACCAAAATTCCCAGCAAAATTTCATTGTTTCGTTAGTCGATTTCCAAAAAATTCTGACACCGATAAAACTATGCTCATCAGTAAAGAAATCTAGATATCTAAATCTGTAGCACAATTTCACCTGTTGGTTATTCGATTGCTAGAAACTTCTGAGGTAGTTTGCTAATTAATGATTGCTAATCAAATCTAATGAGCATGTTTATTCTATTCGAATTTTATCTCAAAAGGGGAACGTCGGGATTTTCATCAATGCTCCTCAACTATTAGATTATATCCTTGTAACATGAAAAACATCTAACCTGGGGATAGTCGCTGTCCTTGCTCTGGTAACCGAAATGAAAAAAATACGTTTTTGCACCCCGACGCGCATGTAAATAAGCAACACGCACTAAGGGCGCGACCGTATGCCCATCACTTAACGCTTCCATGGTCGAGTCTCTGATATTGATAGGGTGAGGTATGGGCTTATCCCAGTCCGTATATTCGTTTCTGACCGCAGAAAAAATCTCATTCAAATGATACACGTAAGTGTTTCTGATGTAGGTTCTCAGCACGCGGTTCCTTTGGTCTTCTTCGAACCCGTATTGGATATCGTTCGCGTTGAAGTCGGAATAGCTTTCGGTTGTGGTGGTGCCCAACATCACTTCGCATGTGATGAAGTTCTCGCTAGCGTGTTCCATGGCGTAAGCTGGATCCGTCGATTCCAAATCTACCGGCAACGAAGGAGCTACTTTAGGCATAAACCGGACGGTTTCTAGGTTCACGTCCAAGAGCGCTTGCAGTGGCCTGGAACAATACGAACTGATTACTTAAATTTGTTTTATTTATGACGCACAATCAAGAATTTGGTTATTGAATTTTAACTAAGGACGCTTTGAAGTATCTGAAGAAAGTTTGTAAAAGTTTGACTACGATAATTTTAAGTTTTAGCTTTATACTTGACATTGCTAATAGCTGAACTTCTTGAGGAAAAGTTTACCCAGTTAAACATTACTCCATTTAGATTCAGTCTAAGTCGTCATCAGTAGAGATACGCCAGCTGGCTCATAATAAAGAATAAATGTAGGTTTAGGAAATACAACTTACCTAAATCTAATGTAAAATTTTAGACATACACCAGTTTTAAAAAAAGATTTGTTTGGTTCAGAATCTTTAAACATATTAGGATCAACTAAAAAATCATTTGGTAGTATCACCGTCTTTTCTGATAGTGAATCGAAAGTAATTCCTTTCCTTCTTAAAGATATATGCTGCCTAAGTGTATTAATAATGAGATTGTTTATTGGAAGTTCTCTTTGCACTGGTGTATTGAATTGCGCCACTGCATTTTATATTGTCGATGAGAAATCAACGAATGAAAAATCACAACAAAAAATATTTCGCTTAATTATATTGTAAAAAGTTCTTCAAGAAGTTTAAAAATGAACCTTCAAAATTTTTGAAATTGAACTGTTGACTACTTTATAGATTAAATAGATTTTAGTGTCTAAATATCAAGAAAATATTAAGTGTCCTCGAAATAGGACGAATACCCCTAAACCTTTCAACTAAAGAGACATAATATTTATATTTTCAGTAGGTTAAGGTTCTATTAATACCTTAAAATCATAAAATGGGCTAACATTTTACTCAAGTTACCTTCCTAGAGAATGGAAAACTAATATATTCAGCCAGTTAAGCCTGTGGAGAACCGACTTGGCAAGTACTCCGCCTTCTCTTTTTAAAGCCACCAAAAAGGCTGTAATTTCAAACAGCTACGGCAGAAATATCTCATTAAGCAACCACATTCCGCATTTAGCGAATTAAATGTTTGAAGGCCTTTTCTCCCGCTGATTAAAAAATAAATTGAAATCGAAAAAAAATTGTTTTAAAACGAACGTTGCTCGAATAACTGGGTTAGTTTTGCATTTAAATGTATACGTTTATTTAACTAACAAATAGTGGTTGTGGGAATTTAGCTGCAGGATATAAAAGAGGTCTCTTATCTTTTTTAATGGTCTAACACGGGATGTGAATTCAACGATGTTGCTTTTAATTTAATTTCCGCCCATTCCCCTAGCTCTAGCCTTTTTTTTATTCTCGCTTTAGTTCGGTTTTCCGTTTATGGAAACGTTGGATTAAGCTTCGTAGTTAGCGAAACGGTCACCCAAATAGCGGCTCGAACTGAATGAAGATGTAAAAGATTGTGAAGATTGGGTTAACAATGCTTAATCGGACAATTTAATGAATACATTTATTTAGCTGAGTCTGTACGTTGGTGCGGTAATAACAGTTAAAAAAATTATTATAATTATAGATCATCATAGAATCATTTAAGAAAATTGGTCAGTTGAAGAAAAAAAATGGGAAATGAAAAACTAATATCGCATGTTACGCCGACGATACAGCCCAAGTGATGGAAAGTGAAGACGAGCTCCAAAGACTTCTACATGAATTTGTGATGTCCTGTGAGAAATTCTAGTTTAACATATCTTCAAAACAAAAAAGACAAAAACCCTTTGGGTGCTAAAAACTCCGAAAGCTCAAACTTTACAACACTATCTTTCAACAAGTGTCATCCTTCAACTACCTCGATGTTCAAATAGTCCGCGAAGTCAGACTTCTACCTATTAAAACGTCCGCTATATCTGGATGCCTTAACGACACGCTCTGGTCGAAGTTCTGCGAAATGAAAACATTGAATAGAATGGTAAGATAGAGATGGACAGGGATGAGTGCAAGATTCGTGACACCATGACCTATGAGAAAAGAGAAGTGGTCGACGAAGAAAGAGGCTGAAGGACTCTTTGGATTAAAGAGGTCCAAGACCAATTAATGAATGAATCAGTGCAGGATATAGAAAGTTAGCTCACGGATTCAAAGGAGGAAAGCAGAGTGGAGTGCACAGTCATTAAGAATGAATGAAGACCCCTGCGTGAGGATGATTCATGACTCCGTCCCATTAAGAAATAGAAATGGTCCTCGTAGATTGAATGTGAATGAGTGCAAGGCTGCGAGAACTTTGCTTTTTAATATCTACAATGAATTTATTACAAGGTAAATACTGGAAGATCGGCATGATGGGGTAAATAGCGGTGGTAGAAAATTATTTAACTTAAGGTAAGAATTTGATTGTTGCTTTCCAAGAAGAAATCCTGGAACTCCTGAAGAAACTGGAAGAACTAAGTGCCTTTTATGGTATTAAAGTAACGTATTAGGAGTTCTAATAGAACATTCCGTTAGATATGATGGTAAAATAAGGCGACCTACCCAATTGGCTGAATGAGCAATGGCACAACTGAATTTGTTAGCGCCTTGGTATTTTCGGTCATTTTGTAACTAGTCACTTATGGAATTTTAGTGTCCCGCAAGCGACTCACATGTCCTCCGACTGAGATAAATGGTGAAATGTAGGCAAGAGAGCCATCCAAAAAATTGAAGCTCATTGATATCAGTCACAACACATCTTGCAAGATTAATAATAATAACAAGTGTACCAAAAGTATGCCGCCTGTAAGTAGAAGATTTATTGTGTAACTGATAGTTCGGCCTTCTCCTGCGACCTGATGATCTCTTGCTGCACACTTCCAAGTATTCATTCCCAATCACACTCAGCCCTTGGAAAAAGTCCTTTATTGTATGAGGTGGTAACTTGTTGAGATCCTCAAGTCTGGGGGTTTCGGCCCAAACTTTTGAGCGCCTGATTCTTCCCACCGCTGGACATCTGCACACTGTCGTCATCTTCCAAGAGAATTTTTAGAATTAATGTTCATTGCTAATATGGTGTCGTATGAGTCTCATGGAATGAGTCAACTTTGGTAATCGCAGTCAGTATGGATGAGTTTTTTTCGGGCTTTGATTTCATTCCTTGCCGTTTATCGTGATATATACAACATGAGGTCTGGACCTATTGGTGGCGTCTCTGCTGCTTTCCTCGCTAGGAGGTTGCCTATTTCGGTACTTTCCAGTCACATATACCCTGGTATCCATGTCTTATTATGGGACTCTAATGTAAATATGTTAATTTTTTATTCCCATACTTCGTCTTATGGTGCTCCCCAAAAAGAGGTCAGGGACATTAATGAGATCTTAATAGAATAATAGGTATTCCTGATCAATTACATCTAAAAATATTTATAAATTTAAATGTGTTACGTATTTTATTTCTAATGAATTGTTGAAAAAATCTGACTCTGAACGTATGTTACAATAACTAATAATCACACTAACACTATCCCCCATCCCAAAGAATTAATGAACTAACTGAATTAAACAAAATAAAGAAGGTTGTCAAATATACCGTTTACCTTAAATATGAAAAGTTGGGAGCTTATTTTTTTGCTTCTGCTCAAAAAAGGATATGATTTTAACAATTAAATTCGATAATACCTGAAGAATTTTCATCGTTTATCCACACATTTCCTACTTTAATTATTACTTTATTCGTCACTACCTTTAAAATAGGTATCTTCATAAATATGATGTTTTTGATTTTATTATTTGGTTGGTTTTTACATTGCTTAGATGCAAAATCGTTTAACGGAAAGTTGGTGTTCCGATTTAAAAATGGCAATAAAAAAAATCTTGGTAATGCTTTTATTGTACGGAGTGAACCAAGAAACTTAAATTAACGAAGTAATATCGGTATAATTAATCGAAAACCGCAGCTCACACACCCGTATCGACCTCGCATATTCATGGAATTGCAAATGTAGCACGATCAGATGCACATGCATCTTGAACCTGTACCGCTATCCATAAATTTCGCATTTCAGCGGAATCACTCGCGCCTGACGTATATTTACCCTGGAGCGAACCCCCCAATGGATTCAATCTTTTACCAGAGGCGTAGCTGAACGTTACCGTTCGAATTTGAAATTACCCCTTCTGTTGTTTTATTGATGCGACAATATTGGTACAAGAACAGCGATATATCTCAACCAGCGTCTACAGCTACTGCAGTGACGTCACCTGGTCGACTGGAAAGAAGAATTATTTATACAGGAGGAGTACTATTCTGATATTTTCATGTTAAATGCAGTAAATTTCGAAATATACCAAATTGGTGAAATATCAAGATTGATCTGTACAAAATTATTTAATTCAAGGAAAAGAAAATACAGAAAATCAATAAATTATATCTCATAGGTAGCATGTTATTGGATTAAGTGGGCCATTCTACGTCACACACCCAGTTATAAACTTTTCGGGGATACGGAATCTGGCAGCGCTTACGAGAAGTCACAAAATTTATTTAAAAAAAATAAATAAAATTTTGCATTCCGTTGTTAAACCAGCGACTTTGATGTTTATATGCTGTACCTTAATTGCAAACGCACTTTTAATAAGATTTAAGTTTTCTCATCATGTTTATCAACATTAATATTAAAAATTATTTAATTTAAAAAACGAGCGACATGTTTGCTCGAAAAGGGCATCATTAGGGCTATAAAAATATCTAATACAGACCTCAAATCCACAAAAGAAACTCGCAAACATAAATTAAAAACAAACCACACATATGAACATTTATGCAATAATCGTTAACGATTTACTGATAGAGACATACAGAAGAGGAGAAGAGGATATCTACGCTACACCAATCCAGAATATCAAAGACTGTATAAAAATTGTATTTTTGTTTTGCTTATTTGTTGTGTTATTTTCGAGTTATATTTTTTAAATTGAATGATTGTTTGATCCATTCATGCATTGTGTTGAATTGTTAATTGATGAATAATTTTTAAAATGTAATTGTTTAGAAAGTAACTGATAAATTGTTGGTACAAAATAGAACTGTTGGACGG